TAAAAAAATAAAAATAACTTTTTTAAAAAAGAGAGAGGAAGATCCTTAAGGAGATGGATCAAAACAGTCACGACCACAATGAGAGATCATGGGGACGGTGTGGGATGGGGCAAGCTTCAGATCTGTTATTCAGAGGGTTTTCATGAGTGCTAGTCGACTTGATGGCACGTAACAAGAACAACACACACAGCTGAAGAAAATATGTTGTCCAAATTAAAGTAATAAGATTCAAATAGTAATAAGATTCAAATAGTAATAAGATGAAAAGTCCTAAGATTAAAATATTTGAAATAATATGCAGAGGTCTGCAGTTCAAATCCACTGGTTGCTCCATGGGAGAAAGATGGACAATCTCTTTCCTTGTGATTTACTGCCTCTGAAAACCTGCCTGCTGGAGGGGACACCACAACAATCTACAAGTGGGCAGATAGGTGAGATGAACACATACAGATATGGACAGGGGAAAGAGACGTATAGAATCATAGACAGGTCTGGCAGGCAGTGTGTGTATACATTTGTATATGCTGTGGATCTGAGTATATAGTGGAAGCAATAGGGGTCAAAGCTATATATAGACTTAACCATCACCAAATCCTTGATCAGGAAAGGGGTGTGTCAGGGATGTGTTCTGTCTCCATACCTTTTCAATTTGTATGTGGAACAGATCATTTAGCAAGCTGGACTTTATGATGAGGAGGAAGACTCATTAACAACTTACTTTATACAGATGACACAACCTTGTTTGCTGAAACTGAGGAGGGCCTGAAGCATTTGCTGCAGAGGATCAAGACTGTAGTCTGCAATATGACTTGAAGCTCAGCATCAAGGGTATGAAGATTCTCACCACTGGGCCAACTGGCAGCAGCACCATGATAGATGGAGAAGAGATTGTTAACAACTTCAGATTGCTTGGTTCTATAATCAATCATAATTCTTGGCACCAGCAGTCAGGTAATCAAAAGGTGAATTGCATTGGGAAAATCTGCTGTCAGATACTGCTCCAGAGTACTGAAGAGCAATAATGAAAGTCTAGAGATTAAAGTACCCTTGATCCAAGCCGTGGTCTTCACAATTACTAATTATATTTTATATTATCAATTCATGCACCAGAGAGCTGAAAGTTAACCAAAGATGACGGAAGAATTGATGCCTTTGAGTTGTGGTGCTGAAGAACAACAGTATTGCACATACCATGGAGTGCCAAGAAAAACAGATCTGTCTTGGAGAGAGTAAAACCAAGTGTCTCCTTGGAGAAAAGGAGTTTGAGACTCTGTCTCACATATTTTGGGCACATGGCCAGGAGGGACCAGTCCTCAGAGAAGGATATCATGCTTGGATGGATGGAGGGACAGTGCGGGAGAGGAAGACCCCAGATGAGATGGATTGACACAGTAACTGGGGTAATGGGGTAGGTGTTTTGGTGATAGACTGGCTCAGCACAGGGCAGGGTTCAGAGCTATTGTGCATAGGGTCGCTATGAGTCACAGGTGACTTGATGGTACATAACAACATCAAGTCTTGCTTTATCAACTCAAATGATAGCACATGATCTAAGAGGGGCTCACCATAGTTCACTTTTCAATTTCTGAGAAGGCTGTTTCTGATGGACACTTTAAAATGAAGATCTTGTTATTGGTGGTCATGTTTCCTGTGGCCTTGCACCACTCAAGGAAGTTTTTTAAGTCATGTATTAAAAGGTAGTGCTGTGATAGCCATTTGAATTCTTAGCTCCATTTGAACCTCAAGCCCAGTCACGTCCATGCTCACCATTAGGCATGTAGAATGTGAGGTAACTGGTACAGATTCTGCATCCTGGAAGGTTGAGGTTACAGCAACGACTTTGAGGACTATATGCAAAGGTGAGTGAGCAAAGGAAAACAGCAACATGAGAGCAAGACAGGGTCGGAGTATTTCTGCTTCTAGTTCACACTTCCTTGTGTGTGTGTGGGGGGAACATTTTCTAGCTGGATTCCATGACTCAACTCTTAAGTCTTTTGAGTTAAACTTCCATTTCTGATTCTTGCAAGCCAAGATCTTGATAAGAGCCTATGAAATCCTGAGCTGTGCTCTTATATATGCATCTCAGCTGCTCTGAGACCGGGGTCAGGAAAGGAGGACTGGGAGGTGAAGGGACATCAGCATTGCTTTTAGGATCAAAGGACAATGAGAAGACAGAAGAGCAAGCTGTTCACCAGAACGATTTCTTTCGTTTCATAGAACATGGAAGTACATGTGACACTTGCTCGTCAAAGACCAGGCTGAAACACTGCCAGCAGCTCTGGTGGATCAGGCAACCGTGGACCGAAACCTGGCTGTCACTTGTGGGTCACCTGTCCTGGGGCAAGTTCATCTCTGTGAGGTTCTTTATTCCTGGGTAAAATGGGCCTTACACCCACCTCATAAAGCTGTCCTTAAATGAAAAGGACAAAAATGACAAAGCTTTTTCAAGTGGAGAACGCATCTCAAGGGCAAAGTCAGCTACTGTGATAAATTTCACATTGGACTCCAGAAGCAGACCTGATACTGACCATACCCAGCCTTCTCTGAAAAGGGTCATGTGGGCAAGCTGCTTAGCCATGCTCATTTATAAGGCAGGAAGGGTATCTATACTTTACGGATTTTGCAGAACGTTGGCTATATAGCTCATCATTTATGACACCGAATAAGCACCAGTAAAATGACTATTAATAAAAAACTGAACCCAAACCTGATTGCCAGAGTGTATTCCCACTCCCACTGACCCTGGGGGCACAGCAGGGCTGCCTCATGTTTCCAAGGCGACTCTGTGACTTCATGCTCCCACCACGGTTGGCATGTTTGAACTGCTTATTTTCTGACTAGCAGCCAAACACTTTAGAACCCTGTGCTTCCAGAGCTCCCCACCATTATTAAAGCCCTTGGCAATTCATCTTCATTGCCCTGTGATTTCTCGTGCCCAGATTTCAGCTTTGTTTCAGGTGTTGGTGTAAATGGACAAAGCACCACCCATTGACACTGCACCTTCCAAAACAGCAGTCTGTAGTCACCATCTGTCAGTTGGGGCTCCAGACTGTAACGGGTGAGTCTTGTGGCCCATGAACTAGTCAATTTTGGAAGGACCTACATAAAAAATGAGCAATCAGTTTCCATGCTTGGCATAAATAGTAATCAGTTAGGCGTTGAGTCTGTCCATCCTAAACCCAGTGGTCACAGTTGGGGACAGTTTTGGAAAAGACTGTAGCCTCAAAGAAACAGGCCTTGAGCCACAAAATGTGGACAGCCTTTACTGGATGATAATGGCAAAGAAACCAGAACACAATAACATATATGTCATTCACAAATGCCTCAATCTTACATAACTTCTTTTTGGCATAGTCATTTAATGATAATACTTCCATGATATAGACTAACATAATCTCAATTTTCATTCATTGAAAAGGTCAAGTCCCGAAACGATAGCATAGCATAAACCCTGTTTGATTTTTAGCATCCAAATTAAAAATAACAACCAGTTTTTGTTGGATTGACTTGTGAAACTCCACGTGAAACGTGTCCTGTAACTTCCTTGGCTGATTTTTTAATAAGTTGCCAGGTCTTTCTTCTGAGGCACCTCAAAGTGAACTTGAACCTTCAATCTTCTACTTATTACCTGAGCAAGTTAACCTTTTACATCACTCATGGACTCTATACAGTCCATTTGTCATTATTAGCTGCCATGAAGTTGGCCCCTAGTTCATGGTGACCACATGCAAAAGGAGGGGGGGAGGTTTGCACCTCTGATTATGTGCTATTAATGCAATGTCATCAGAACACCTATATTAAGAAAGTATAGATTACAATTATTTCACTTTACAGAAGTAACTGAGACACACAGGAGATACGAAATTTGCCCCAAATCACAAAGGCTGTCAGCTTCTTACCCATGCTCAAGTTAATGAACAGGGAGTCTTTGGCCAGTGATCTCTGATTTTTAAAAATGCAAGTTTAGTCTGAAAGGTTTATTGATGAGTTTTGTATGCTTATTATTTGTAGTTTCTTAAGACTCATTTATAATTCAGTTACGGTAAGTGAGGCTAGTTGCTGAGGAGATTCCGAAGCAGGACAGTGCCTGACAGCAAGGGGCGGGGCTGCCAGCGGAGAGCAAGAGGGAAATAATGAATTCTCAAACAGCGCCATGAGGGCTGGAGAAGCCGGAAGGGAGAGCTCTCCTCTGAGGTAGGCACAGGGACAAGGGCGGGTTTACAGAGTGGCATCTGAGCTAGACTCAGGAAGAGAAAAAGCAATTCTGTCGTAGAGCTGGGAACTTCGTTATTAATACACAAGTATTACGAAGCTGACGACTCTGGTGACATTAAGCAGCTCTGATGAGATACACACTCTGCGCTTGCCAAAACTCCCTCTTCATTCTACCACTATTTATGCTTGTTCTCTGACTCAGGCATGGTTGTTGCATTTACAAAAATGTAAAAGCACATGACAAAGGCCAAAAGTGAAAATTCTATTTTGTCCTACTATGTAAGATACACATATATTACTGTCATATATCATTGTGCAAAAACAAAGATCATCCCTGAAAAGAAATACAGCGTGCTCTGCTATGGACCTAAGCATGATTTCCTCGCAGAGGACAGCGACCAGTTAGGTTTCTGTGAACTCTAATAATCCTGTTTTGTTACTCTGACCTCCTATGAATCAGCTTTGATACGAGACACCAATTATCAAAACCACATCAAAGCACAATACAATTAAAAATTTATAGTCATTTTAAGAAAAATATAGTATTTCTGCCAAGTTTGAAATGGTACAGTTAAACCTTAATATTGGTTAGGGAATGATTACAGCATAAAAGACATTTTCTTCTGAAAAAGTAGACAGGGTGGCGGGTAGTGGATAGGAAGGCCGTTTAAGTTTTATTTAGTTAAATCTCTTCTGTAGTAGAGTCTAGACTTTTTTATTTCAGACCTATAAACCACAGAAATGCTATTTAGGAATGTAGCTTAAAGACCTTAAAAACAATTAGGTTATTTGGGCAGTTTGGTGACATACTGGTAAAGTTGTTCTGCAAATGCTTCAGAGGAAAACTTTTCCTTCACCCTGGCCCTTCCAGCCAGTCCCATTGTGGCTTTCAAGGAGGGCTTGTGGAGGAACTTTTCCATGGCTTCTGAGAAGTGCACTGGATCAGGCTCACAGAGAAACCCAGTGACATTGTGCAGAACAGACTCCAAGGGCCCACCTGAATTAACAGCGATGACAGGGCACTGCATGTACATGGCCTCCAGAGGAACGATGCCAAAGTGCTCGTTGCTTGGTGTGTAAAGCACACACGTGCAGCCATGGAGGAGTGAGATTTTCTGCTTGTCTGAGAACGAGCGCAGGAAGGTCACATGCTGGCCAAGGTCACATCGCTGGACCATACTTTTCAACTCCTGATAGTGTTCCACGTTCTCCAAGACTCTCTCATCATAACCACCTGCCATGACCAGATGAACTCTGTCCCAGTCTTGGGCTGTCACTCTTCCACGCAGCTCTACCAGGGCTTCCAATGCCAAGGGCAGATTTTTCTTCCTTTCATATCTATTGATGGAGAGGAATAGGACATTTTTCCCTTTGGGGACTAGGTCATCAAGCTTTTCAGGAACAGCTGAGTCAAAGCTGGAGAAATTCAGGGACGGGTAGAGGACATCAGGGTCTATGTGTGACAAGGTCTTAAAGGTGTTCTTAAAAACATTAGCTGTAAACCGGCTGTTGACCACGATGCAGTCAGCCAAGCCTGTGGTGTGTTCCTCTATCCAGTCAATTGGGGCTCTATACAGCCTCTTAAGGAAAGAATCTCTCTTGGTGAGCAGCATATCAGGGAAGTGACAGTAAAACAGGATCTTCTTCCGTCTCCTGGCCAGCCGGAGCACTGGGATACAAGCAGACACCTAGCCAAAGCAAAACCACAGATGGGTTATTAATTCAATTTCAACCAAATCAAAGTACAGGCACCCACCCAAACTGCAAGGTTCATGCTCCCAAAGGGTCACATACCATTGTGTTCCCCCAGACTCTTACTCCACTCAATGTATAGAGTATAAAAGGTCACCAGCCATCTGCAGGATGAGTGCTAAACTTACATGGTAGAAATAAAAATGACAGAACTTCTTCGGAAGGCAAATTTAGCAATTGCTTCTGACATTAAACCTCAATAAACTCTCTGGCCAAAGTGCATTTCTAAGGGAAAAACAAGTTTCCTTACATTCAAACAAAAGTGTATTTTCTAGCCACTCCAAAGAATGAAGTGAATGTCCAATACTGACATATAAGGATGTCCTGAATAGAACACTTTGGGGGGAAGGGGGAAGAAAAGCAGGTTGGCCAAGTGTTGTTGTTAGCTGCTATGCAGTTGGCACGGTAACCTTAAGGGACTAGACCACTGTGATGTGCAGTGATTTCATGGGCTAGTTTTTCAGAAGTAGATCACCAGGCCATTTTTTGCAATAGTCATTCCATTTCATTATCCATGAATCAGAACAGAATCAAAGCTGACCCACATATCATGGTTCTGAAGTTGTGCACTGAATGGGAAGAGGTTGCCTATCTTTCTCCTGGAGCCTCTGGTGGAACCAAACCAATGGGATGACACACAGCCTCCGGGTCAGCACTGTTCAATTCCCTACAGCTTACACCACCCGAGGCCTCTATCGTCAATAGGAAGTGTGCTAAAATCTCTACTTATACAGATAATGCATATCCATAGGAACACATATATTCTGGGAGAGTCCAGGCAATTTCTGGAAAGAATGGAGAAAATGTTAACAGTGGCTATTTGAAAATTTAATAATGAACAAATGTTACTTTGGGGAAAAAAACTCACAAAATTTAAGGGGTATAAGGTTGGCACAGGATAGAGTAGGTTTAGGATCGCTATGAGTTACAAGCATATAAGAAGGAAAGTCTAGAACAGATAGATGCCACATCTACGTGTGCCTTATTTAACCAAGATAAAAACCTTGGACTTTTTCTGAAGAGTGTGATGGAAAGTCATGTTACAGATTTAATAGACGTATGACATGCTTAACTTTGTGTTCTCAACAAATGAGAGACTTTCAACATTGGGATGAAGATGGTTTAGAGTCAAAAGAATGATGGGGAAATGGGAGGTGATGTCTGAGTTACTCAGAAGTGACTTCTAAAGTTAGTTTCTTGAGTTCCGAGGCCCATCTGCTTAATAATCTGAAGGTAGAGTTAAAATACAGACTTCTAGGACCCACCCTAGGGCTCCAGGACAAAAACGCTGGAAGGCAGAACACCGGAATCTGCGACAATCGTAGTATCATTCTCAACTCTTGATTTCTGCAGATCAGATCTTCCTGAGCCTCAGACTCGGAGAGGACCCAGAGGGGGACTCAAGAAGTAAAGTGGCACGCTGCCATTATGAGAAAATGGTAGCGAAGGCCTGGACCCGAACTCGTTCGCACAGAAGAATAGCAGGGCCACTCAGCCGACACCTCACCTGGTCGCACACGACCACGTCGAACTCCACGCCGCTCAGGAGCAGCACGTAGAGCGCCAGGTAGACCATGCGCAGGTAAGCGCAGAGCGCGGCCCCGCGGCCCCAGCCCAGGCTGCGCGGCAGCCAGTCCCCGGCGCAGTGCACCGGCAGCTCGCGGCTCTCGGCGAAGCAGTGGCCCGGGTCGTAGTGCGCCGTCCAGATCTGCACAGCACAGCCGCGCGCCCGCAGCGCCAGCGCCGCGTCCAGCACCAGGCGCTCGGCGCCGCCCACGCCCAGGTCCGGGTGCAGGAAGAGCACAGACGGGCCGTGACCCGGGTCCCATGCCCGGTCCGGCTTACCCGCCATGGCCGGTGACCTGCGCCCGGGGGCCGGAGGAAGTTCCCCGGAAAGCCCTGCGGGATCCTCACCTAGCTGGCCACGCAGGGGCTGCCTGGCCCCGCCCCGTGGTGCGTACGTCCGTTAGGACACATCAGCGCAAATATCTAGGCGTCTAGTAAATGCCGGATAAAACGTCTGGCCCGATATCAATTGTATCCTCTTCTTGGCATGACGCACTGCCCTGTAAAGGACTTTTTATCTAAAGGAAGGAGATATTGTACTTGTAATTTTTTTCTAGGGTAGCCGAATAGTCTTCTTGAGGAAGATTTATACAGGCAAATAGTTGGGACTACTCAGGAGTCCTTAGAATCAGCGAGGCCCCGGCCAGCGGGCCTGGGGGCGGGGCCTGACCCAGTGTCTTCAGTTGCCGACTCTGAGGGCTGCTTCGGTGCTCGCTTTCTTCAGCTTCCTGCAACTCTCCGCAGTTTCCAACATGGTATGGTGACCTCAACCTCCACCCCTTGATCCACAGGCGTTCTGACTCCTGCTTGTGTCCTACTTTCATCCCGCGTCTCCTTCCTTTCCCCTCGATCCTGGTGCGGGTCCCAGCTGTCAGGGTCCGAGGGCGTGCTCCTGGCGCTGACCCTTCTGTCCCCTTGTCTCCCTCTTTTCACAGCCTGGTCCGACCCCCAGTGGCACTAACGTGGGTTCTTCAGGGCGTTCTCCCAGCAAAGCAGTGGCGGCCCGAGCGGCAGGATCCACCGTCCGGCAGAGGTGAGGAAGTGTGTCCCTGACCCCGGGCTGTGGGTCGTGAAATTCTTAGGTCCTGGGAGGAAGGTCCTGGGCTGTCAAGATTCACTCCGGCAAAATGAGCTCAGGTGACGTGGCTGTAGCGGCGATTGCAGATCTTTTGGTTTTGCATGCCTGGAGAAGGTGGAAGCATTTTCTCAATCCGGGCACCACTCTCCAAAGAACGTGAACAAACCGAGTAGAGTCAGAGCCAACTTTTGGTAACACTGTGTCTTCAGTCAGAGTTTTGTACTTACTTTCCTATTCGGAGGTCCCAGACACACTCAATTTAACATAATTTGTCTGCACAACATTCATTTTTTTCATCCCCAAATGGCAACTCTCTGTTGTGACACTGCTATCCATTTGTTCACCCAAGCCAGAAACTTCAGCATCACTTTGGATTTTCTCCATCCAGTCGTTTTCCAGACCTTAAAATCTGCCTGGCAGCCTTCTTGTTAGTTCTTCTCTCCTCTAGTTCCATTGCCTTATTTTGGTGTTTATTGTTAGTCCTCAGTCCATTTCCACTGAAATCTGACCTCCACTCTGATTTTTTCTAAAAATACATCTGTGAGTGTCTGCTTCAAGGTATCTGGAACTGACATTCCTTGAAGATAACCCGTATGTCTTGACAGCAGTCTTTCCCTGGGTCTAGGAGGTTCTGAACCCAGGGCCCAAGAGTACATTCCACTGGCACTTTTTGACTGGAGTAGGTCCTCATGTTTCTTTTGATGTTAAATTTCTTTTATATCCCAAAAAGATAGACTCCATTGACCATCAAATTCTGTAGAATTGCTTTACCAACATTAGAGATTAAGAATATTACCATTTTGTCATTTTGTTTTTTTTTTTTCTTAAAAAAACTCCATTTCTGTTTGAGCAAGGAGTAATCAACCTAGGCTTTGGGTTGTTAGGAGGTCAGTGAGAAGATTACCGAAAAGAAAGGGAGGTACATGATTTCGTAAGTTCCATGGGCTAATGGCTCTGATTACTATTATCTGAAAGTTGATGCAGTCATACAAAAATTAGGACTAGCTACTTTTTGAATGATAGTAAATGTCTTTTTAAAGGCAATTACAGGGTAATTTTGTGTTAGCCTATTAGTATATGGGTGCAAGAATCTGAGGCACGTAAAAATGAAATAACTAATGCATAAGTGAAATGTGAACGTTTCTTGGCAGAGGAGTAGGTTAACATTCAGTGTAGCGCAGAGGTCAGTATACCTGACACTCAGATGATGTTTTTATACACTGAGAAACCCTACTGTATTTCCATTCTAGGATCATTTTTTTTTTTTTTTAGTATTGCTTACTGTACTATTTTATGAGTAGACTATCTAAGAGGGAGACTCAGTGACCAGAAAGAAAGCGTAAAGTAGATCCCAAACGGATAGTTAAGAGATTAGTGTGGGCTTTGCAGCCTCTGCCTGGTTTCGTAGTTGAGGGATAGGAGATATTTTGGGTACATTTTTAAATTTCTAGGTGTCCTGATTTCCAAATCATCTGCTATGTCCCTTGAGCCAGGAGAGAGAGGGAATCTTAAAATAGGCCAGATTGTGAATCCGCTATGGCTTGTGTCCTGAACTCTGGTGGCTTAGTGGTAAGGGGTTGTCCTGCCAACCCAAAGGCATGTGGTTTGAACTTACCAGCTGCTGTGCAGAAGGAAGATGGGTAGTTTGCTTCTGTGCAATTTACTGCCTCTGAAAACCCACTGGAGGGTGAGCTGTGAGTCAGTTCTAACTCTGTGGTAAACAGCAACAGCAGCAACAAAGCTTCTATAAATCTGGGAAACTGTAGACAGGAGAAAGCATCTGGTGGCTAGCCAAAAGGTTAGTGATTCAAAACCCCAGCCGATCTAGAGGAGGCAAATGAGGATTTACACTGTAAAGATTTACACCATTTGAAAACCTCATCAGCAGTCCCACGGCCATCCCACAGGATCATTGAGCTGGAATCAGCCTCAAAGCAGCGGGTTTTGCAGACAGGAACTGGAGTTGGGAGGTTGAGGGAATAGTGGAAAGTTGTCAGGGCTTAGTCCTATCTCAGTTGATGATTAATCTTGTCCATACTGGATCTATCTTCTAGTTGAAGGTCCTTTTTTATGGAGGAGGTGGAAAATGGTGCAGTGTTTACCACTTCTTTTTTGTACACTGATTGTGTTCCCTCCATCATCTTTTGATGCTTCCTGCGTCATTCAGTATTTTGTTGATAGAATCCTTTAGTATTACAGTTTAAGGTTTTACATTTTTCTCTTGTTCGTTCATCTTGAAAAATGCCAGACATGTCCTTCCTTTTGGTTTCCTAAATGCCAGCTCTTTGCACATTTTATTATAATACTTCTTTGTCTTAAACTTCTTAAGGCTGCTATATCAAGGTATCATAAAGTCTATACATGATATAGATTTGTTTCATGATTTTAGAGATTATATATCAACCTTAAGAAAACAAAAAATACCATTATGCCCCTAGGCAACGTCATGATAGAGAGAGAAGAGAGAGAAATTGTCATTGATTTTTATCTCACATGGATTTACAATCAGCACACTTGGAACCAGCAGTCAGGAATCAGAAGACACACTGCACGTGGAAAATCTGTTAGGGACCTCTCCGAAGTGCTGATGAGCAGCAGTGTCAGTTTAAAGACGAAGGTGTGCCAGATTGAAACTATGATTTTTTTTTTTCTCAATTACTTGCTCCGCATCTGAAAGTTGGACAGTGAATAAAGACGACAGGAGAAGAATCAAAGACTTTGAGTTGTGTTGGAGAGAGTATGAATGATGAATGTCCCGTGGACTGCAAAAGGAACAAATACATTTTGGAGAAAGTGCAATCAGGGTGCTCCTTGAAAGCAAGGATGGCGAAACTTCGTTTCATGTACTTTGGGCATATTAGAGGGACCAGTCTTGGTAAAGGACATCATGCTGGGAAAGGTGGAGGGTCAGCAAAGGTGGGGGAGACCCTCAGCTTGTTGAGTTGACACAGGAACCTTAACAAGGGACTCAAATATACAGAGATGCTAGGAATGGCACAGGAGGGTGTAGGGTTCAGATCCGTTCTTCATAGGGTTGCTATGAGTTGTAGTCAATTCAGTGGCATCTGGGAACAGTAATGGACTGGATTCGAGGGAGCTCTGGTGACCTATTGGTATGTTCTGTTCTGGAAACTGGATACATTTGCAGCTTATTTTTTTTAAAAAAATCACCAGATGCGCCTCTGGAGGGGGGGGGGCAGTCTTCTCCTGTGTCATTTGGATCCAACTCAATGGTACACAACAAGAAAAAAAAAAAAAGAGAGTACATGGATGTACATTTTTCAAAGAGGGGTTTTATTAGCTTCTCAGAAACACATGTGGAGAGTGAAATGCATTGCTCCAGTGTAGAGGTTTGACGTTGACAGTGCACAGGGCCTAGAGATAGAACTGGGCTGTTGTCCTACTTTGGCCACTTGTTAGCTGTGTGACCTTAGGGACTTTGCCTCACCTCTTCTGAGCCCAGTTTTTTTACTTATGAAATGGAAACAGTGACACCTTTCAGGGTTATTGTCCACATTAGTACCTGGCAGTGGTTGTCACAGTCAGTAGTGGTTATCACAGTTAGAGGAATAAAACAGGAAGTATCTCCAAAGAGGGTGGTTTTCTTTGATTTATTTATTTTCCCAACAGTGTAATGATAGCACGTGCTCTACGGGATTGTAAGGATTTCCACAAAAAAGAAGTTTGTGATTATTTTCCTCTCTTACAGGAAAAATGCCAGCTGTGGAACGCGGAGTGCAGGGCGCACGACCTCAGCAGGCACTGGGGGGATGTGGCGATTCTACACGGAGGATTCACCTGGGCTCAAAGTGTAAGTCTCGACAACAGACCTTGTGCTCTGGTCCTTTTTGACTTGCGGTGTGGCTGGGCTATCTGTCTCTGCCACCAGTGGTGCCTGCCTGGATGACATGTGATGAGTTTGGGGCCAAATGGGTTGGGTTTGGTTTACTCATATATCAACTGATGAGACGCATTGGGCCTGGGGATGACATCTCTTCATGCATTGAGTGAGAGGGTGGGCAGCTCTTCATGTGGTCGTGTCAGAATAAACAATGGGAACAGAGAGGACTGGAGGGGAAACGGCTTAATTAGGTGAAATTGCTCTTCATTTGGAGCTCTTGGCCCACGCTGAGAAATAGGAGTCACCATTTGAATGGGAATTGGGTGATTTTTCAAAGCTTTCCTGAAGGGATGGTTGATAGGATTACAGCCTAATAGAAGTTTCTCCATTAGGCTGCGTCCCTTGGCTTCCTTGCTGCTGGTGGGTGGTGAGTAGACCCCCAGGAGCAAGCATGTCACTTTCCAGGCTCTTGGGCCTGAAGGTCTTCACTGGGTCTTGGGAAATGGGCATCCCAGGACCCTCCAGCCCCAGCCTTGCTTGCCACACTGTCTCTCTTGCTGGCACCATGTAGACCTTGTCCCACCAGGAGCTGTTTGGAGGAGACTGGAGAGCGCCACTGCTCGCAACTGTTTCTTGACTAAACTCCATGAATGAAGAACTCTTCATGTGTGTGGCATCTGGTGCTTTGCAAAGAGCTGTCAATATCTGTTTTCTAATTTAATCTGTTCCTTAATCCTCTGAGATAGGAGATGCCTGACCTTTTGCAGATGAGGGAGCTAAGGTCAGAGAGGCAGAGAGACACACGGAGAGACACATAGATGGCCCAACTGTTAACTTCCCTGCTCTTCCCTTCCTGCCTAGTGGTAGAAGAGAGACCGAAGGAGACTGATTTGGATTAGTTCAACACATTTAACCAGCAGTTTTTACTTTTATTATGGTTTATGAAGACATCTCTGGAATTCTGAGATTTGGTTTTATTGATTTTTCCTTCATCCTGTTAACAGTACTGCATTGTATTTGTGTAGCAAGGTAAAAATGCACTTTGGAAGGAGTTCTTGGGTCCAGGTATTGGCAGCCTCTGACTGACAACCTTTGGGTCGCTGTTAGAGGTGATATTTTACTGAGAGAAATTGCGAAGCTCCTTGCTGTTCAGAGTGTCTGGGGGATTCTTTTTAAATCTTCCACCAGAAGGTGATAAAAACATGTTCTCCTGTAACTGAAATGGACTTATGCTTGCTTTGGACTTTTGGCTTTTGTGCAGCCAGGCTTGCTGTTGGCCTCTGCATGAGTCCTCCCAGGAATTGACAGAGCTGCTTCTTTATCTGTCATAAACCACGCTCTCATCACACCAGAGACAGGTGTCTTCAGTGAAAGGACACTGTTGGAAATTCTTGTCCCCAAATCCATCTTGGATCAGCTTACCCATGGTTTTTATTCTTCCTAGGAGTTTAGATTTCTGTCCTTTCAATTGATGATGATAATAATAGCATATTCTAAGTAGCCAGCACTGTGTGAGCATTAATTTACTTCCGATTGTAGCAGCTCTGTGAGGTAGGTCCTGTGATTGTCTTCACTTTACTGATGAGTAAATTGAGGCTCGGAGAAGCTAAGTAACAAGGCCAAGCTCACGGTTCCTAAACGACAGCTGGTTTTTGTAGTTTCTTGCAGTCTGAGCACTCTGCTGCCAGCTGGTGTTCCCTCTCATGTCATTGGAGCATTACTGTCAGGTAGTGGGCTGTGATCAAGTGCAGTAGAGTGACACACTCTTCCTAGGTCCTTTTAAATTTGTTTACTCACCTAATTCTACACATTCTAGAATGAGGAACTATGAGGGTAGTCTTTGTTGTCTGGGCGGAGTCTGTTTACCATTAGTGGATTCTTTCGCTCACAGTCCTCCACTGGGACATGCTCTCTTGCTTTGAGGATTGTTAAGTCCTTCTTTTCTGTGATCTTTTCCACTGTCTGCTCCCAGTTATATTTGGATGATGCAGTGAGACTTCTTGAATTCTCCAGACGTGCGCTTGGCAGGGAGAGTCAGTGATGGAACCTTAATTTTTTATTGAATTGAGTAGTCCACAGGTATGGTGAGTGGGCTCACCCTTCAGAAGGAACTCAGATCCCTATTTTAAATGTGAATAATACTAGATTCAGGGTTTGGCTGATGAGCAAAAGAAACTTCTTCGTATAAAAGCTCACAAATATATCACAAGAGTCCAGAATTAAGGTTGCATAGTGGAGTGTACTCAGGGTGGTGGGAGGGGGCGGGGAATTGTATACCAAAGAAGAAATTTTTCTTTTGCTTTTCAAGGAGAGGAGCAAACTGGTTGGGCAGAGGGCTGGGCAGGGAGAAAAGAGCAACAGTGAATGAATGGAAATCCAAAATCTCTGTAAATTTTCATTAAAATTAATAAAATAAATTTTATTTATTTTTTTTTTAAACTCACAAATAGAAAGCAAATTTATTATGTCTTTCCTGGAATGCTTGTTTACTCCTGGAAGGTGGGAAGTCTTGAAGCATTAAAATGAAGGATATGTGTAAAATCAGAAAACCTGAGCTCAGATCTCTAGTTTTTGACAAATTAGGAATTAATAAGCTCTGTAAGCCTCAGTTTTATTTATTCTTAAAATTATACTGATCTCTTGTTCTAATGTACTAGATCAAATGGGATCACATGTAAATTTTAACATGATACTTATATTTGGCACATTGTAGTTAGGTAGCAAAGGTTGTCTTTAAGTGAATCTTAATTTAAAAAAATAATTTGATAACTGGAGTCTGGGAATTTTTTCTCTTGTTATTTTTAGTCTAGAAAATGCCATATATCTATGCGTGTGTGGACGGATAGATATAGATACAGATGGATGAGGATAGGAAAGTAGAGTCTAGTGTAATGAGTCCTTGTGTGCCCATCACGGAGCTGCAGTTCCCAGATCCCTGCTAGGCTTGTTTCCTCCTCACCCACACCCGCTTTTGCATGGCTCCATCCTATTTTGAAGAAAATCCAATACATCACATATTTTAACTGAATATATTTCAGTATGCTTTGCTAAAAGAGAAGGACTCCTCCCTCCTAACTGCAATCATAATGCCACCACTGTGCCTCAAAATACCCACGATAACAATTTGGGGAATATCTCCAAATGCTATAAATATTATTTCTGGATGAATCTCAAGTGGTCCCTCCCCCCTTTTTTCCCCAGATAATCATTAGTATTGAAAAATATAACAATATATTATTACTAAAAATAAGTATGCCTTCTTTTCTTATTTCCAGTGGCCCTGTTCCAGTATTGGTTATGAGTCTTCTGTTCATCGCTTCTGTATTTATGTTGCACATTTGGGGCAAGTACACTCGTTCATAGATTCGGCTTCATCCATCTGTCTTTCATCTGAAGAAGAAGGAAAAAACTCAACATATCTTGGACCAAAAGCATAGTGATTTTTTTTTTTTTTAATTTTTTTTTTGTTCATGGGAAAGACATTTTCTGTAAACTTACTATTTTCTGGGTAACTTAATGAGGAATCAGTTTTCATCCCTTTGGCTAATAAACTTTTTTTCATTATTTTATAACAAGCCTGATTGCTGATGCCTGACTTTTAGTGCCTATAGCCTGTCTTCCTTTAAATTGTAAAGTTGATAGAAGTAAATATAACCATACTGTCACCCCAGACCAAGAGACTGTTGGTTGTGGCTTGTTCCTGTAGGTGTTTCTGACCTGACGGTGGTCACTTTGGGAAGTCTGCAGTTTTTGAGGAGTGTGCCTAAAATTCCCATGTTCAGAGGCCCCTGGCCCCAGGGTGATAGTGAAAAAACCAAAACTCTTGGATGAAATATTTGCTCTAAAGTCATAGATAATATTTTTGTCTATTTCTTCCAGTTCTGAATTCTGTAAATGAAGACCAGGGACTTCTGTCCATTTGCACGTAATGATCAACTCACGTTTTGAAAGAATTAATTTAACAAATTGGGTTTATTGAGTATGGTTATTTTCATTTTGAAAATTAAAAATTTGTCTAATCAGAATGAGATACCAGAAATTGTACCCACTTCTGAGTGAACACATATGGTTGCCCATCGCTATGTAGAAACTAAAAAATACAGCAAAATGAATTCTATCACAAATGAAGTTTGGGCTGAGGCCTTTAAGTCATTTGGGGAAATACGTGTTAGAGAAGGGACTCAAGAGTCACTCGAACTCTTATGGGATAGAAAGGACTGAGGATCTTGGCCCTAATACTGCCTTGAACACTTAGCAGTAAAACTGGATGAGGATAGATGTGTGCTTGGAAGAAGCCAAATACTACTTAGCTTCTGTTTTCACACCTGTACTAGTCTAGACTCCAGTTTTTTTTCCTCATGTGCCAATATGCTTAGAGGAAGAATTGAAAAAGACATTCTGAAATCATTGAAATGTTAGCATCAAATTAATAGAGATGAAGATATCTACAAAACTGGCTGTTTTCAACAGAGGATAGTTCCTGTTTTCAAGAAGATAGTGCGTGGGATGTCAGGCTCTTACATGCATGGAGCCAGCTCGGCTTTCCCTCAGAGCTGCCCCCATGGGGCACCAGAAGAGGCTTCCGCAAAAGCCACTGTGCTTGGCTACTGCTGCACCTCCCATACCTCAGCTTCCAGGGACTCCTGATAAAACCAGTCAGACCTGCGGTCAGCTATTGGCCCTGCAATCTTCTGGCCCTTCACTAGTCTCATTTTTCTTGCGTATAAGTAAATTTGAGTATGATGGTTCCTACCAGCTCTGAGATAAAGTGAAAAGAGGTTGTTGTTGTTGTTATGTGCCTTCGAGTCGTTTGTGACTCATAGCGACCCTATGTACAACAACCCTAAACCGTGCTCTATCCTGTGCCAATCTCATTGCCTCTGACACACCCATCTTGATTACCCCAGTCACTGAATCAATCCACCTCATAGAGGGTCTTCCCCTCCTGTGCTGTCCCTCTACTCTACCCAGCATGATGTCCCTCTCTAAAGACCTGTCTTTCCTTACAACATGTCCAAAGTATGTCAGACGAAGCCCCAGAATCCTTGCCTCCAAGGAGCAGCTTGGTTTAACCCTCTCTAGGATGAATCTGTTTGTTTTTTTGGCAGTCCATGGTACATTCAATACTCTTCTCCAGCACCACAGCTCAAAGGCGTCAATTCTCCTTCTGTCCTCCCTAGTCATTGTCCAACTCTCTGATGCATAACAAGTGATTGCAAGTGATTGAAAAGAGGTAAGAATAGTTTAGTTTAACTGTCAGTTACCAAGTGCTTATTACCAATTTCAGAGAGAGAACTTCTATTTAATCAACAGTTTAACTTGGAATTTACAAGTTGCCTTGTTTTACACAAGAAATGAAAGTAGTTACTCAGCTTCTCGGTGGTAGAGGGAGGATTTAACTCCAGATCTCTGTTTTACTTAGAATCATGTGGATAGATCATTTACTCTTTGGGATGAGAGTAAAGAGAGAGTGTCAAAATAAAAACACAATGATAATGTTTTTCTATAAACACAGTTCCAAGGAAGTGCCTGTGCTGTTAAAAAGGGGGCAAAGCGATTTGATCACTAACTTGGTAGCAAGAATGAGCATGCATCTACTTTCCGCCAGGCTTCACCTTTCACTGCCTCCATTTGACCCTAAACACCCAGAGTTAAACCAGGCTTTATCCTCAGCTGTCCTGAACAGAGTCAAAATAGTTGAGGCCAGGTCATTGGGGAACAGCCATAGACTAGGAGTCTGTACGACTCCCTGCACCTCAGACCAGGTAACCTCTCTTATTCCCTCCGGGTGTAGGTCCCAGACTTCTTCACTCCCCTCTCCAGACCTGGGTCTACCCAAATCTGTCAGCTCATTGCCTCTCTGGGCTTATGAATTCTCTGTAATAGCTCCCAAAATCTCACAGATTACTCCCTGGTTTATAGTTAGTTACCCACTTACTGTAATTAGTTGTGCTGTGTGCTGTTTCATTGCTGACCCTCCAGTAGGTTTTGGTTTTGGGTTTTTTTTTACAGTTTTCATAAAGATCTATTTCATTATTGGTGGATAGCCCTGCAGCAGGTTTTCAGAAGCAGTAAATCTCACAGGAGAAGATTGCCCATCTTTCTCCAGAGGATCAGATGGTAGATTCGAACCATGTGCCTTTGTGATTGCTTCACAGCTTCTTTTTTTTTTTTTGCTTCACAGCTTCTAGATAGGCTACAAATAAAGAGAAGCAGCAGGTAATTCTGGGAGAGTTCCCTGTCCAGAACCTCCATTGTCTCCAGGGATGTGCCACTCCTGCTCGTGCTATGTGCAGAGGTTTTCACCAATATAAAAGGCCGCAGAGAAGGTGCCAAAGTTACAAGTCTTCTAGTCATTGGAACCTCAGTGAATTCACAAGATTACATTTGGTCCCCTCCCTTGAGCAGTTATTTGTCCCGGGGTGGGGTGTGTGTAGTCCCTACTTAACTGGCTGTTTTGGAAACAGTCATTTTGAGTGTGTGGGCTGACCACACCAAACTGCCCCACTCTGCCTTACGGGCTTTGTATGTATTTCAAGCATTAGATTACCTTGGTTTGAGATGTTGGGTTTTGCAGAAAGAATTTTTTTTTTAACTTCAGTTCTCCTGAGCTCCGTTCTTTTTGTGGAACTTTTATGGTTGTACAAGAAAACCAGTGCTTAAACAGTTACCGAGTGCTGTGGGCCGTGCTCCTTCACTTAGGTTTTACAAATGATGAGGTGAAGTAGCTCATGCCACTTAGATGCTAAGACCTTAGGTTCGTATGAGGCTGTAAATATTTTTTTTAACTGTCCAAATGTCAACTGTTTTTAAAGTTTTTATGTGCCATTGAGTTGCCTGTGACTCATAGCAACCCAATGTTCAATAGCCCCGAAACTTGCGCTAGTTATCCTGAGCCACTCTTATCTCTGACACACCTACCCCTGTTACCCCAGACACTGTCAGTCCATCTCATCTGGAACCTGCCTCTCCTGCGCTGTCCCTCCACCCTTCCAAGCATGATGACCTTCTCTAGGGGCTGCTTTCTTCTAGCCACATGGCCAAAGTATGTGAAGTGGAGCTTCAAAATCCTTGCCCAGTCAAAATAGCAAAATTTAACAGAACAGCAAGCAACAAATGCTGGCGAGGTTGTGGAGAAACTGGAACCCTGATTCACTGTTGGTGGGAGTGTAAAATGGTGCAACCCCTGTGGAAAGCAGTATGGCGCTTTCTCAAAAAGTTGCAAATAGAGATACCATTTGACCCAGCAATTCCACTACTGGGAATATACCCTGAAGAGACCATAGCTGACATCCAAGCAGATATATGCACACCCATGTTTATTGCAGCTTTGTTCACAATAGCAAGGAGTTGGAAACAACCTAAGTGCCCATCAACAAACGAATGGCTAGAGAAGCTGTGGTATATTCGCACAATGGAATACTATGCTGTATTAAAAAATAAGGAACTCATGCAATATTATTCAAAATGGTTGACTCTGGAGAACATTATGCTGAGTGAAATATCCCGGTCACAAAAGGACAAATATTACATGATGCCACTGTTGTAGAATGGGACTAGCCTTGGGGTTGGGGAGAGACTGAGTAAGATGGGTTCAATAATGTATACTGCACTGAAACAGAGGAGGAAGAAAACTGTTTAAAAGAGATATATGACTAGGTTCTTCTGTCATCACAGGAGTCTAGAGCGAGGGCTACATGGTGGAGGGGACCTGGGGGAGGGTTTGTAAAACAATGAAAGAATCCTTTCTTTTACTTTTCCATAATTTTGGACTCATGTACTTATAACTGGTTAGTCAAATTTGTGTCTTCTAGGTTGCAACACCCCCATGATACATATTCAAGGATATGAACATGTACGGCCAAGCACAATCAATAAGAGTGCATCTAAATTCCAAAATCAATCTCCATAATAGTCTATGTGTTTCCTACTGCCAAAGGGGCCCTTTAGAGTAGTGAGAGAAGATCTTCACCCTGAAACCCACAGCGTCCCTTTTCAGCAGGAAGTAGCTAAGAGAATACGCCATCCTCTTTTCCTTATGACTCAGGGTGAAGTCTCTCTCAGGGAGGAGTGATAGGGAATGGCAAAGGACACACCGACAAAGGAGATTAATCAGAACTGACTTTGACAAGCACTGTGGCAATTGGACAATTAAAACAGACATTCGGATGGCGGGGAAGAACAAACTGGGGAGGAGGGTGGAGAGAATGGTGCGGCAATGAAGGAGTGAAAGCCCAGAATCCCTGTGAATGTTCATTGAAACTAATAAAATTTAATAATAATAAAAAAAAATCCTTGCCTCCAAGGAGCAGCCTGATTTAATCCTCTTAAGGATAAACTTGTTTGTTCTCTTGGCAGTCCGT